CCCCTTTTTTTTTTTTTCTAGTGCCACCACAAGTAAAATCCAATTCTGCACTGCTTCATTACACATATATCATTATATGCTTCCCATGATGACAAAGTGGAACAGTGGTTCATCCTGAAATCTCTTACTCTCCAATGTTTTCAGACCCTTCCTCCAGTACTTTGTAGCAGCCTCTTTGAGTTGAGCCAGACTCACTGTAGTTACAGCTGCAGGTCTTTGTGGATACGTCTGTTTGAGCTGTGCATACCTCGATTTGGGCAGTTTATCTCAGTCTTCATGGCAGATCCTTTCAAGCTCTGTCAGACTGGATGGTGAATGCCTGTGTGTTGCCATCTTCTCCAAACGCTGACAAATAGTAGAGAGTAAGGGAATTACTGGCGACATTGTGAGTGAATCCAACCAATGGTAACAAGCAGGAAATGAAAACTATGCACACTTTAAGAAGAACTGTTTGTTCAGTAGGACAGGTGTAACATTTGATGGATCAGGTATTTGAACTGTTTGCTTTGTTATTTCTTTGTTTTGGTGGAGCTCTGGTTGGAACTAGAGGGCTGTCATTGTTCTGGTGGATTGTGTGGAATGGTTTAGGTGTGTAGCTCTGAAAAAATACACCTGAAGCTTGCAGCTACATGCATAGAGTGCGAGTGATAGGTAAGCAGACGTGGGCAGTGTAGACCGCTGGACTATTTGTGTAACGCATCTGCAATGCTCACAGTGTATACATAGCTTTAAGTTTCTCTTTGAGTTGAGCCAGACTCACTCTGGTCTCACGCTAATGTAAACAACGGCAGCTTCACGGGATCCAGGCGGCTGCAGTTGTCAGCTCCCAGGGCATGATGGGAAACACCTGGCTCTCATCTGATCCAGGAGCTGATTGGTTTAGATGTTGGATCAGTAATGTGATGCTTTATAGAAATTGACTGATTAATCAAAATTGGTATTATTAGTGAGTGTGAGCATGAACTATGTGCATCAGATGCAGTTTGATCAGTTTCTGTAAGGTCTTCATCACTAATGCGTCATGTGTTTTACAGTAGCACACCTACCGGATGTGTGTGTGTATGTGTGAGAACCTCTTGTGCAGAGCACCGATTGTTTATTTATGCACTGACGATAATTTATGACCAGTAAAATATTCAATTTATGGAGAGGAAATGGTCTCATAATTTAGACTTGGGTGCTCTTCATCACCTTCATCACCTCCTTCTCTCCTCCTCCATGATGGATGACTCCCTCCTCCTCTTCACAGCTCCCTGCTCCCTCTCCCTCTTTCTGTGTCAGTGTCTCTCTATCATTATTTGCTGCCTCGTCAACTTCCTGATCGAATGATTGATTGACAAGCGCACACACACACAGGTCACCTACAGAAGGTCATGCACACATCATCTGATGTCATGGTGATGTGAGCCTATTGGCCCGTTACACTCCAGGTGCCTGTCTCACCACTACCAGCGGCAGACTGAGCAGTGAGCAGCTCCCGTGTGGACATCCACACATTGGGACATTGCGGGAAGCTTAGAGGCGGGAGGAGTCTCAGGCGGGTTCTGCAGCCGCTACTCCTCTGGTTTCTCACTGGGTTCATGGAGGTTTGTTGTGGAGGGACATCAGAGGTGAGGAGATGCTCAGGAGGTGGACATCACACTGAGTCAGACCAACGTGTTTCATGCTTGTATTCATGTATCACTGACTCAGGACTCTGAGGGGGAGGAAGACCAGACTGGACTCACATTACAAACACAGTTTCAGTGGATTAGAGAGTCTCTATCTCTGTGTCACTCCCACACTCTGCGGGTGTGGGTCTAGAAACAGATAAAAACACCGGAGGAGCTCAGACTCTGTGTTATCATCAGTCTATTATGTGTGTGTGTGTGTGTGTGTGTGTGTGTGTGTGTGTGTGTGTGTGTGTGTGTGCGTGTGTGTGTGTGTGTGTGGACATGTTTTTCCTGCTACGTGGGGACTTCTTCCTGATTCCATACCAACTCATGAGGACCCATTTCACGGTGGGGACCTAAATTGAGGTCCCCATGGGCAAGAAATTGAATTTTAGGGTGGCAACATGGTTTAGGGTTAGGATGAGGTTAGGGTTAGGTTAAGTTTAGGGTCAGGGTTAGGGTTAGGCAAGTAGTGATTCTGGTTGAGGTTGGGGTTAGTCTACAGGAAATGCATGTAAGTCAATGTAAAGTCCCCATGGACTACGAAACATAAACTGTGTGTGTGTGTGTGTGTGTGTGTGAGAGAGACCTTCCAGTGCACACGTGTGTTTCAGAGGTTATGGATGGACTTCTGTGCACATCATTATTCCCAATACCAGTTTACAGCAGCAGGCAGTATGTGAGAGAAAAGCTGCAGAGTAGGTCTTGCATCATGTTTGTCCTGAAGCTGTGATTGAGAAGAGTGTGATGTTCACATCAGCAGAGCTGCCATTTTAATTCCATCTGACCGTCGGTGTGTCAGTAACCTGCAGGAGGTGACTGTGCTGGTCTGCTCTTTTTTTACACTCAGCACCTGGCCAAAAATATTAACACAATGTTGTTGTCATATTGATCAATAACAGCAGTTATTGGTATATGCATGTAATGTCATTAATGAAAAAGGACACATTCAGTGTGTTCATTAGAGTTCAGGACACACAGTGTCATGTGACCTCCACGGGGTGCCTTTGGATCTCAGACGGAATCCTACATAAACGAGGTTTGTTATGGTTCTAAACTATCGTTTACCTTTAAATCAATCATTTGATGCAGCCAACACTGTAAAACATTGATGCCTCACCAAGGCAATAAACAGAAATGTTTCAGTTTCCCAACATACAAAGCCCTTAATGACAAGGCTCCACCGTATCTTAAAGACCTCGTAGAGCCTTATCATCCCAACAGAGCACTTTGCTCTTAGAGTGAAGGTCAGATTGTGGTTCCTAGAGTCCACAGAAGTAGAATGGGAGGCAGAGCCTTTGGCTATCAAGCTCCTCTTCTGTGGAACTAGCTCCCAGTCTCAGTTCAGGAGGCAGACACCCTCTCTACATTTAAGAGTAGACTTAAGACTTTCCTTTTTGATAAAGCTTATAGTTAGGGCTGGATCAGGTGACTCCCTATGCTTCTATATGCCACCATTACACATCACTAACTTTGTGTCTCCTCTCTCCTGTAGTAGTGTCCTCTCTCTCTCCCTGTACCTTTCTGCAGGTTGCCATGGCTCTGGAGCTCTACGTCTCTGATGAGCAGTCACCAACCACATCAACCTGACCAGTCAAGAGCTGGGGTCTGTCGGATGTTTCTTCCGTTAAAGGGAGTTTTTCCTCCCCACTGTCGCCAAGTGCTGCTCGGGGATTTGTTGGGTTTTCCTCTATAATAATAATAATAATAATAATAGTAGTACAGTCTAGACTTTAGTTTAAGTGTCCTGAGACGGCTTCTGTTGTGATTTGGCGCTATACAAATAAAAGTGAACTGAATTAAGATGAAGCCAAAGACTGCTACCTACATCTCAGCTCTTCATCTGCAGGTGACCATCAACTTCACCGAGCTGTGACACATCCAGAGTCATTCCTCACAAGATGAATTAATAAAGATTCATTCAGGAGTTCAGAACAAATTACTGTTGTTCAATAATCCAGCAAATTGGGAACACATACTTTGCACTGCAATGACGAGTGTAACTTCACTCAGCTGTGGTCAGTTAATGTTATATCTGTAATTTGTCCAAATCTTACTGTGTGTCAGTACAGAAACATCTGGGCTGCAGTCTGTTCAGTATATGCCACAGTGTGTTGAACTTTCCTGTTTTACTAAATCCGCTCCATGTTGTAACGAGTAGACCTGCAGTGATTGTCAGAAGAGTAATAAACTACCGTGATAATCAGGTGATTTTCTAGCCAGTGTAGACGACAGGCTGCTGAGCTTATTGTTTTAATGAGATGCAGGAAGGTTTTAAAACATGACAGTGATATGATATAAATGTGTCTTGCAAAACCAGAATAATCTGGTATTTTGTAATAAAGGTGGTATGTGATAATAAAAATGTTATAATGTAAAAAAAACAAAAGGTTTCTGGTTGTAACAAGAACCTGAGCACAATTTATCTTAAGTTGTGGTGGTGCCAGCATGTCGCCATATGTCTATGTCTGATGTCTTCTTAGAGAAGAGATGTCATTGTGTTGGTTTGATATTTGGAGAGAGACACTTGTCACGGTGTCTACATAAACAGCCACGCTATCTTAAAAGTCTGGACACTAGTCATCCTCGCTTAGTTGTGTTTTGATGTCTGTCAGTGTCTGAGCTGTGAATCAGAAGTAAGTCTGCCTAGGTGAGATGTTTGCTCACTGTCACAGCTGAACAATATTTGTTCATCATTTTTGTTCAGTTCAATAACCTCACAGCTCCTTGTCTCCTCCCTCTGTCTCAGGTGCAAGGCGGTGATTGACAGCCGAGGACAAAGAATCAGCTGCAGCCATTTTGTGGTGGAGGAGGGCTACTTGAGGGCGGACAGGAAGAAGGTGGCCACACCCACCAGGTGAGGAGCACAGTTAACCCGGCAGTGTTGTGCCAACCGTTCACCAACACTCCATGTCCCATGATGATCGGTAACACTGTGTCGGCCTGACCATAGGAGGGTTTGTGTGGAAGTGAGCTGGACATGACGAGGTCTTAGTTTGGAGGATAAGACGGTGACGTGTTTCTGGCAGGTGAGAGCACCAGACTCATTTTGCATCATGGGTAGATGGCAGCACTAATGGTGCTAGGCTAGCCAGTGTGTCTGCATTTAGTGTCTCAGAGTCTGGTTCGTCCAGCTGAGCCTGCAGGAGTTTTTGAAGGTGGTTCTAACAACACAGTAGTGTCTTTGACATCTTCACTGCGAGATGAAGCAGTGTGTCTGTCCCACAGGTCGAGTGACAGAGAGAGAGAGAAAGAGAGTGATCCTGACAGGAGAGAGGCAGTGGCTGAGGATACACTGAGGTGGGGGTTGTATTACTGTGGAGAGAATCGTCCCGGCAGACAGTGTTCCAGCAGCAGTAAGGGACAGAAACAACAGAGAGCAAGCAACAAGACAGCATAAGAACAGATACCACACACCGATCTAGATAGACAAATTCAGAAAACACGGAAAGAAAAAAACACAAAAGAGGACAGAGCTACTGGAACTCGCTGCTGCTCCGTGCGGCACGTCTTAAAAAACAAATCAAGAATACCCAAAAAACAAGACAGTACAACCATTTCAAAACAGCAAATACCACAAGGATCTCTTAAAAACAAATCAAGAATCTCAAACAATTCGAGAATACCCAAAAAACAAGACAGTACAAGCATTTCAGAGAAAGTCAAGAACAGATATCGCTCTCACTCAAATCACAGACAGGGCAGTCTGTGGTCAGAGGGGAGGGGCGGAAGTGTACGCATTCCTAGCATTAGCATAAGGTAGGGTCCAGAGTTTTATTGTTCTTTGTGTAGGAGGGTAGCAGAGGGGGAGGGAGGCATGGCATGGTCGAGGTCCTCGAGATAAGAATTAGGGCCTGCGGGTGCTGTGTCCGCCAAGACACCCTGCGCCTGCACGCAGCAGCAGTGCCAGCCCGGGGATCAGTGGAGAACCGTCACCATGGACCACAGATCCTGGAGTCCCGGTGAAGCGTTTGCAGGACCTCTCCTCCTGTACACCCACTGCAGCTCCGCCAGCGCGGTCAGCTCGTCCAGCTCGTCCATCTTGTCCCCCAGCGCCTCACTCCAGCTCTTCTCCCAGCGCTTTGCTCCAGTTTTACAGACTCGCCCCTCTCGTCGCATCCCCGTGGGAATCCTCGGCAACTCACAACAAGGAAGCCGACTGTTGGCAAGCAGAGCAAACAGTCGGGGCCGCAACACAAGGGTCCCCCCGAGGCAGAACTGAAAGCTTGTAAAAAAGTACAAAACACGATGCAAACGCAATAAAAGTTGTATCCCTGGTAGCCCAACTCCACAAGCGTTTACGGAAAAGAGACATAGCAAAAAAGCAGACACAGAAGCCCAAGGAAACACGAAAAAAACAGGTCGTCTTATTATCAGACCAGCACCATAACAAATAAAAAGAATGTAGCTCAGGCAGCAGCTTCGCCTGTGGATGTTGGCTGACCTCCAAGTGAGTCTGAACATCGTGAACCCACCCAGTCACCTGTTTGTGTTGGTGTGTCTGCAGGTTCCTAAGCAGAGCCGTACTGATAACCAATGCCTCTGTTCTGCCCAGTGGCTCCGACCAACAGGTAAATCATCAGTCTGATGTTGTTCTCTTGTTATGGTTCCACCTTGTCAGTGTTTTGAAATTAACAAATCAGAGTTAAATCTGGGAGCGGTCAACATTCAAGGCTTTCGTGTGTTCGTACCACACTGAGCATGTTCAGTCTCCTGTGACCTCTGACCCTCCATGTCACAAACAAGTCTTCCTACTCGCTGCTTCCTCACTCCTCCAGCATTTAAATCAGTTGGGAGAGACAGGCTGCTGGTTCAGTGTCTCACTGTGGAAACTGGAGAGGGTGCTAAAGGTCAGAGGTCACTGTGTCCTGCAGCCCCAGTGCATTATGGGACTGTTGCGAATGAATGTGAGACTTCTAACAGGAAGAGATAAAGATAAATAAAGACTTAATTATTGAAGGAGAAAATCCCCAAGTTCATCTGAACACACTGAAACACACACACACACACAGACAAAGCTGTGTTTTCATTCCTTGTGGGGACTGTATATTGACTTACATTCATTTCTTATAGAAATCCTAAATTTAACCATAACCGCTTCTTTCCTGACCCTGACCTTAATACCTAACCTCACCCTACTCTTAAACCATGTTGCCACCCTAAAATTCAGTGAATTTCATTGTGGGGACCAGCCTCTGTGAGTTTTAACAGGTTTCCGTCCCCATAATGTAAGTAATACAAAGGCACTGACACACTTTCCACTTTCACTAATTAGGTCCAAGTTAAATATTGAAATATTGAATTAAGTTTGGTCAAAGAATTATGATGTTTTATGTGTCTACTTAGTGTGTGTGTTACTGAGTGTGTTTAATTGTGTTTCACTGTGTGTGTCCGTGTTGGTGTGTGTGTGTGTTAGCCTGCAGTGCTCAGTAATAAGATGAAACTAATTTGTGTTTTAACTCTGCAGGTTTTTCATTAAAGACTTCAGTCTCTGTGGTTAAACTTTTGTCTCCCTGTCTGTTTGTCCCTCTGCCCGTCCGTCTCCCCGTCTGACTCTGCCTGGCTCTCCTCAGGTTTCCTTGATAACAGTTCCTCCAGTAGCAGCAGGCTGTCCAGCTGTGAGGATGGTGGAGCTCTGTTCGTCC